TGGGGGCCCCAGCATTGCCACCAACATTGAGGACAGTTCATTGCAGGGGCTGTCCCTGTCCTACTAAGGCTCGAACTGGCACGAGTACGCCGTCGGGCAAGCTGCTGCCCAGGCTCCGTCTTGTCCCGCCATGCAGCTGCGAAAGATGGCAGAGCTATTGGGGCCCTGTGTGAAGGTCTGGTTCAAGTGTGCACCCCCGCCGTCACCTGCGAGACAGCACAGGCTAGCACTCGGAGCAATGAGTTCAGGCCGCTTCAGCTGCTCAGAAGAATCCACTTTAGAGCCTTACGGTTTTGCATGTCTCTAGCACGGCCGGCCCCAAGCCGTAGAGATCTTCAGCCTCTGTCTGCCGCCCCTGCAAGCCCGTCGGAAACCAAGGACCGTGTCGCTCGGAATGATGCCACACTGTTACCGTGGTGAGGACACCCGAATGCAAAAACACTCATCTACGTTCTCGACGGCCAAAGCGCGATCTGCCGAGCAGTGCTCGAAGAGCACCGAACTCCCGGCTTCCTGCTGGTAGCCGGCGGTGGCAAGGAGGCCGCCTCCTCGGGGCACCAACATGTTTTCGTGTCTGACGGGGAGAGTAGGAGTGGGGCCACAGAAACAGCCCAAAAAAATCTCTCAAAAAGAGGCCCTTTTTGATTGCAGGGGCTAGCCCGGTGCGCAATAAGTGCCTGCATGGCAAGTACTTCAAGGTCTACGTTTCTCGGACCGGTGGCCATGCCCTACAGCATGAAGATGGGCATCGGAAGGCTCCCCACTAGTAACGGGCACAAGAAAGCTGCTGCCCAGGCTCCATGATCTTCCGCCCTGCAGCGGCGAAAGATGGCGGAGCTGTTGGGCCCCTGTCTGAGGTCCTTCACGCGTGCACCACCGCCTTCACCTGCGAGACAGCACAGGCTAACACTCCGAGCAATGAGTTCAGGCCATTTCAACTGCTCAGCAGAATCCACTTTAGAGCCTTACGGCCGTGCATGTCTCTAGCCCGGCCAGCCCCAATTCGTAGAGATCTTCAGCCCCTATCTGCCACCCCTGCAAGCCCGTCGGAAACCAAGGACCGTGTCGCTCGGACTGAGGCCACACAGTTACTGTGGTGAGGACACCCGAATGCAAAAACACTCATCTACGTCCTCGACTGCCAAGGCGCGTTTCGCTGAGCAGTGCTCGAAGAGCACCGAACTCCCGGCTTCCTGCTGGTAGCCGGCTATGGCAAGGAGGCCGCCTCCTCGGGGCACCAACATGTTTTCGTGTCTGACGGCTGGATAGGAGTGGGGCCACCGAAACAGCCCAAAAAAATCTCTCAAAAAGAGGCCCAAAACCCCCCACACCCTGCTAACTTTTTGATTGCAGAGGCTAGCCCGGCGCGCAATAAGTGCCTGCATTTCAAGTACTTCAAGGGCTATGCTTCTCGGACCGGTGGCCATGCCCTACAGCATGAAGATGGGTGTCGGAAGGCTCCCACTAGCAACAGGCACAAGAAAGCTGCTGCCCAGGCTCCATGGCGTCCCGCCCTGCAGCTGCGGAAGATGGCGGAGCTGTTGGGGCCCTGTGTGAAGTTCTCCACGTGTGCACCACCGCCCGCGCCACCTGCGAGACAGGAAAGGCTAAGAATCGGAGGAAGGAGTTCAGGAACTTTCAGATGCTCAGAAGGACCCACTTCCTGTAAGCCCTTCCCAAACCCAAGACCAGGCAAACATCTTTTCAACTTGTGCACGTCCTCAACTGCAAAGGTGCCGGAATTTGCCCAGCAGTTCTCGAAGAGTCAGCAATGAATCACTCTCAAGGCCGCATCCCCGCAAGAAGGAATGCTTCAACATGAAGCCCAGCGATGTCTTTGGGAAACTCAGGCACACAAGCACCGCCGAAAGGATGATAGCGGAGCCAAGGCGCCGCCGTCTGCTGAGCAGTTCTGGAAGAGCACCGAACTCCCAGCGTCCTGATGGTAGCCGCCTTTGGCATAGAGACCGCCTCCTTGGGGTGGCAATGTGTGCAGAAGCTGCAGGACGTGTCTCTTTGGGTTTTGAACGCGAGCGTACCCCGGCAACGGAATGGGGGGGGTCTTGTCGCTGGACCGCTGGAACATCTGACTTTCGGCTTGCTTTGTGATGCGGAGGTCTAGCGCAGCTACCGTCTGCAGCACTCGCCTTCCTCTGCGGCGCAGCTCTCGAACTTCACGTCGCTGTTGTCGGTGATGAAGTCTTGCTCGATGAAAAGTGCTCCGCCCTTTCCTTCCTGGCCGACGGCATGAAGCATCTGCTCCGAACCTGCAAACTTGACACCAGAAACCTGGCAGTCATCCGAAAACCCTGTGTAAAAGTTGTGACCAGTTCGCATCGATGACACAACATGCCTGCTAGCAGGATGCAGTGGAATCCATGTGCCACGCGTTCCACGGGATTAAAATTTCCAGCCAACTGCATGGAAGGTATCCAAGTAGCATGAAGAGAAGCGGAAGATGTGAGACCACAACAATTCTTTATTCGAAGAAGTCTGTTCGATCGTGGCCTCCCCCTGAGAACCGAAGAAACAGTTAATTCATGCAGTCTCATGTTGATGCTACTTGAAAACAGCGTAATGATGTTGGTGATGTCAAGCGGACCATGCTGTGTCTCATGTTTACAAGAGATATGCTGGAAATTCGGAGTTGATCACGGAACATCTCGGCGCAGAAGGTGACACACAAATAAGCAGTGCATGTCCAGGCTTCGCCAGTTTAGGTGCTCGGCCACTTCCAGGCTTTTGGCAATGCAACGGCTGACATTGAGCAATGTGGCCAGCATTGGCACACACACACACTGCGATGCTTAGGGACGAAGACAAGGCATGCATCACAATAACTTGCGAGCGGTGTTGTGGCTCCACTGAACAGAAACCTGTTGCATCGCGCATTGTCGCTTTAGGAAGACTGTCTGCCCATGATGCCGATCGCATGCAACATGCCGAAATCCCTCATCACACGGTCTTTGCCAAGCATACAAACTCGTCATCAAAGAATTGGTAGGGAATAGGGGAATGGATCCCTATGATAGTCCCTTAAGGGGCCCTGTAGTAGTCCCAATAACCCATTCCCCCATTCCTTACCAAGAACCAGTCAGAAGAAGGTGAATTTGAGGAGCCCCTACACCCCTCAAGCCCTAAGCCCCAAAGCCCCAAACCCCTAAAGCCCTAAGCCCGAAAGCCCCAAACCCCCCTTATAGATCCCTTTTTAGACTATATTGGGGCCTAAAAAGGGACCCTAATTTAGAGAACTACCCATTTGAGGATAAGACTAGCAGCGAAATGTGCCTTGCCGGAATCAAGCAGACCGCCGACGCACGAGCTCGGGCGACCAGGGTTTGGGTCTACGGCACTTGGAGGTTTGAGGTTTCAGGGTGTAGTGTTTAGGATTTCAGGGTTTAGGGTTCAGGGTGTCAGGGCTCAGGGTTTAGGGTTTCAGGGTTACGAGTTTGCACGGATGCCACCCAGATGTCCCAGCCTTCAGTCGGTTTCTGCAGCCAACGAAGCTGGCGCGGGCGGCGGTCACCCTCATCTGCCCCCTGACATTCATACCTTAATGAGGGCTGCAAGCTCGAATCACTTGCACCGTTCCTCTTGGGGATGCTTTGGCTGATGGCGCATCGCATCAACGACTCTTCGTGCAGCCCGAGATGCAGGGTCCATACCTCTCCTGCTCCCCGATGATCTGTATCTCACCCATTAAGACCAAGTTGCCTGCCCACAGTTCTTGAAACCACAGTGCTAGCCTTGAGCCTTTGTAATTTCGAAGCTCTCAATACACCTCAACGACTTGATTCCAGTAGCCCGAAAAGCACCCCACCCGGCTGTCAAAGGTCACGAGTGCCTTGGAAAGTCAGCGGCTCCTTGAGAGTCACCTCGCGGCAAACTCAGACGAAGAAAGCATCACGTGGCCTGGTAGAGGGTGGCCACTTGGCAAGCTTTGACATCTTAAGGCTTTGCAGCCTCGCATGGTTCGCAGAAAAAGCCAGGAGCTTGAGTCGAAAAATCGTTTGTTGGTTTGGGGCTGTGGCACTGGGTCGCTTCCAGTGCCATGTTCCCCGCCTGCAGCCCTGGATGCCCGTGCCAGGTGCAGCTGCTGCTGAGGATGAGCGCCTCGTCAATAACCTTGACACGTCTTGGAAGCCGGAGCATTGCAAGCTGGCTGCTTCAACTTCCAGAATTACCACTGGTAAGTGCTACTGCAACTGCAGAAGCCAAAAAGTATTCTCAAGTGCAGGCCAGCGACGCGGCTGCCATTGCGCGGAAGTCCCTCGCAGTGGGGGTAGTTGGCCTGGGGCTCTGCAGGCCTTTATATACGCCATGTTTTTCTCATGAACTATACACCAGCGTGCAGTTCGAATCCTGTGATGCCTCTTCTAGCTCCGGGCTTTACATTTTTGGACGGCGCGTCAGCTATTTCCCTAGCATTCGTGAAGTCCGAACCCGAAACCACAGGCACCCATGGACAAGCGACTGACTCTCCTTCCAGAAGAACAGCACCTGCCTTGACAAGAGCTTGAGACAGGGGTGGCATTAAGTCGTTTTGTGATGTATCTTGACGGGTTCGGACGGCTGGAGTTTGACTGGGCTCTAGGATTCTGGTGTTTTTCAACGTGGGGCCCGGGCGTCGGCGATGATCTGGGGCGAAACCCAAAGCGCATGTGCCCGGCTTTAAGGCTTCTCCGTGCTTCTGCACTAAACTCCGAGCCGCTAATCCTGAAACCATCAAATCCCCCCAAAGACCCTACAAACTCAAACCTCTGAACCCTGTATTAAGCAAAAAAGGAGCTCAATGCAAGAACACTGGAGAGAGAACTGAAGCGACCTGGGGAGGAGGAGCCGTCTCACGCAACCCGGGCTCAGGGTCGAAAAGCCACGTCGACGCCTCTCTGCTGGCTCAGGGCTTCTAACGGATTCTAACGGCTCTAGACTTTCGGGGCTTTGGGGGGGCTTTCGAGTTTCAGGGTTTCGGCTTTTGGGCTTGAAGGCTTTTAGGCCTTTAGCGTTTCTGGCTTCAGGGTTTTTGTTCATCGTGCGAAACTTATGGGCAATTGCAGGGCCTTGGCAACCGGGGTCTAGCTGTTTGGTGCCCATGGTCTTGTCAAAAGAAAAGCCAGCACAAACCCTGAGTCCACAAATCGGAACTCGACGTAGCAGTAGCTTCAACAAAAGCTCCGGACCCTAAGACGCGAAAGAGGCCCCTCCCGTCGAGAAGACATCTGCAGGCGCTACCTTCGGAGCTGCATTGAACTTTACAGGTTGAGGATTTTGTTCAGAGGCTCGAGACACATATGCTCCCAAGAGAGCTGATGGGTTTGGGCCCATGATCTTCGAAGGACGCCCCAACGCGACGGCCGGCCTCTGTTTCGAGGAATTGCTGGATGTCCTCTCGAGGGGTGCGCACGGCACGCCCGACGATCCACAGCCCTTGGGCTGGCTTTGGGTTACAGCTGAGAAGCTGCATGCTGCTGCTTGATGCGTTGAAGTTCTGGGTTCATCGGAGCCTTCGGGTTCAGCTTGCAAGTGACGGCTTGGCTGTGGCTTTCGGATGCCTTCTTTGAAGA